CTCTGGGCTGGATGTGGGAACAGGAGCACTCTCTGGGCTGAACGTGGAAAAAGGAGCCATTTCTGGGCTTAACTTGGGAACAGGAGCCCTCTCTGGGCTTAACTTGGGAACAGGAACCCTCTCTGGGTTGAACATGGGAACAGGAGCCCTCTCTGGGCTGGACGTGGGAACAGGAGCCCTCTCTGTGCTAAACTTGGGAACAAGAGCCCTGGCTGGAGCAAGCTCAGGGGCTGGAGCCAACACTTGAGCGGACTCAAGGGCTGGAGCCGACACTGGATTGGACTCAGGGGCTTGAGCCGACACTGGAGCGGACTCAGGGGCTGGAGCTAACAATCTTTTTCTCCTCATATTCCTCCTCTGTTTGGGGTTAAGGAGCGGGCTGCTGTCAGCTGAGGGCTTGAGAGGGAATTGGCCAGCGGGCTTGACAATGGAATGGCCTGCGGGCTTGACAATGGAGCAGTTTGCAGGCTTGACTTCGGAGCGGCTGGCGGGTTTGAGAGTGCAGCGGCCGGCGGGCCTGTCTGCTGAGTAGCCGGCGGGCTTGACGACGGAGCGGCCGGTGGGCTTGACTGCTGAACGGATGGCAGGCTTGACGCAGAACTGGTTCTGAATTGGGGCCAGACACTCTACAGACACCGCAGGATACCTTCCCTCCAGCTCAGTCCAGTGGTGTCTGGGAGGTCCATGGGGCGATGGTAATTGGCCCCGATCCAGAACAAAGAATTTAGCGCTGCGATGTCCAGCGCCGTCATAACAGCGAGCCCGTAGAATTCTCGGGCGAACCCGACAAACGGGAGATCCCTGCGGGCTAGGGCGGAGAATCTCGCGGTGATCTCCATGGTCACAGGTCAATGGGGAAAAAAAAGATGACTTTCAGAAAAACTGAAACAAAAATGGGGATAAGGGGCACCACTTACTTTTTGTAAGGTCTGGTTTTCTGTCACGGTCTGTCTACTGTGTTGGTACGAGGAGCGAAAGAGCGAGGAGACGTAGGTGAATTCTTGAAGTACATTCTTTATTAATCCATTGGAACACACACGTAGCACAGAACAATAGACGTTTAAGACCGGAGGCAGGACACAGAAAAAACCAGGGCTTAAATAACTAGAACTAAACGAGGAACACCTGACATCAATGAACATAATCAAAAAAGGGAGAAAATGGGTAATGGGGAGCACATGGGGAGCAAAACACAAGACACAGGAACACAGGGCTGACAGGTGACAGAGTTGCAAATATTTTAGTGCCTTTTTGCAAAAAGGAAAGACACTCATCCAGTGCAGGCTTTTAGGAAAAAACACAAAAACAATGACTAGAAAGCCATTGGCTCTTAAAATGTTAAGACTTTTTTTTTTATCCAGCACAAGTCATTACAGATCTTCACGGAGTTGCATTGGACTCTGTTCAAAACATTTGCTAATTGTTTATTGCCAACTATAATTTCCACCTTGCAACAGGCAGCAACAGTCTTTTCCACCTGATTTTGCAAGATTTGTTTGTCAAAAATGTTCTAGTGATAATCTAGTGACCAAAAACATCTATTACATATTTCTATATTCAATTTATACATTTGATACAGTAGCTCTTATCATTTAGTTAGCTGGTCTGATTATTTAAAAGTTCAACCATTAGTTGAACTATTTTTTGTAGTAGTATTAATTCTAAAATTGTAGTAATTCCAAGTAAAACATTTTAGAAAATAACGTCAAAAAACCCATGCAATCTGCTGATTCAGTGCACTGACTGAGGTATCTTTTCCATGGACTTTCATTCACTTTTTCCTTGTTGATCATTCCAAGATAGCAGCACTTTATTTTGTATTCACAGCTTGAAATTCATGATTAAGAAGATATATATACTGCCCCATGAATTATTCTCAGTAAAAATTAAGTTACTGTTACTAGAGTAGAAACTATTACTCCATAACATCAGTTTGGCAACTTCCTTATGAGTTAGCTATCTTCCTCTTCACTCTGTCATTTGAGAACTCAAACAGTCTCTTTCTGTTTGTTTCCACAAAATCAATCGATGATCAATCAATCAAGTATTATGTTGTTTTTATAATGTAGTTCTTGCTGGATAATTAATTGCATCTGAAGTGATTAATCATGAAAACTGTGTGATTAGTCAGTTAAATTTTTAAGCTCCAAAAGTCACACCTTTTATTTTTCTCAAATCACAGAAATGAGTGTTTGTACATGCAACACATAATTATTATGAATTAAGTACAAGGGAATGATCATATATTACTGTCCTTGACATAGAAAGTGTGAAAACCTCTGTAAACCTTGATAAAAATACATATATTATTGGCAGCTAAGTTTCAGTCAGTGTAGGTGGGACAGAGGCTTGTTTCCCCTCCACAAGTTTTGCAAAAAGGTCCAGAAAGCTCTGCTGAAATGCAGCCTGCTGTCGTCTGGCCTCTGCAGCTTCTGCTCTTTCCTCAGCCAGTTCTCTCGCCCGTGCCGCAGCCTCTCTTGACTATTGCTCCGACAGCATCTGTAAGAAATGATCCATTGCAGCATTGGCTTCCTTCCTCCTGGCCTCCTCCAACTCCCTCATTTCCTTCAGTGCCAACATAACAAGTGTGTCTCCCCTTTTCCTCTTTCCTAGCATGAAGACATTAATAAATCTATACTTAACAATCCGGTCTTAAACACTTACATTGCAGCTATTGCACTAATTGTACTACGCATAAACATTTTCACAGCACAGTTTACAAACTTCACAGAGTTAAACGATGTGTTTGATTGTAATGTTGGTTGGGCTACTAGATTTGGCCACTAACTTTGTACCAATACTTATCTGGTAAATAGCTAACGTTGATGTATTTATCATGATTTATAACTTTATGTAAAAGTTACTTGCCTTTTACAGATATGTCAGTGTCACTGGCCTCCGAATCTTTGCTTTCCACATTTCTAGTGCATGCTGGTTTGTGGCCAAGGATTGCATCCATTGACCCATACCATTTACCTGTCCGTTGGTCAGAATTATTTAGGTTGTTGTGTTCTTTAATCTTTTTGTAGTCTTGTTTCAGTTTTTTAAGCTTTTCCCGACACTGCTTAGCTGAGTGGTGGATCCCGACCAGCAGCAGCTGTGCTGAGATGTTGCTGTACACTTTGCTGTTACGCTTTGACGACGCAAAACCTCTCTGGATTTCCTTGCTGGAGAAAATTCTCAGCAAGGCTTGTACCTCGCAGTCAGTCCACTTTTCTGAATACTCCATATTTGAAGAAAATTATTACAGTAAGATTTAGCTAATACAAGACCGAGTCTTCTTTGTCATTCGTTTATGCATTTGAGAAATGACGGGTCGCAGCACCTCTTTGCTGCAAAAGGAACGGAGTAGTTCCTCAAACAGTTCCTGAAACGGGGATTAGGTTCTGCACAGAACCATTTTATTAATCTGTCACAATTCAGGGTTTGTAAAGAGGTTGATTTTAAATGATGGGGCAAACTGCAAACCCGCAGCTTAGTGGTGTTGATAATTTTGTGTGTTTATATTTAAGGCTTTGACATAGCACCAAAAAAGGCCTGTTTGTTTCTCTTGGGCAGAGAGCGTGGAAATGAGTTCTGTAATATCCAGTTGTGACAGCTTTGGCTCAAACTATCATAGATGAACCTCAGGGAAAACTTACACCACAAAAAAAGTTCTTACTCAGTATTTTTGTCTTGTTTTACAGTACAAAAATCTAAACATTACAAAATCAAGATACATTTACTGGAGATACAAACTAATGCTATAAGTAGTTGCTTATTAGCATGCATATTGGCTGTTTATTAGTACTTACAAAGAACATAATACCTTATTCTGCAATTAGATTTGTTAACAACTACCTTAATAACTATTAAGCAGCAAATTAGGAGTTTATTGAGTTTATTACTGTCCCTGTGTTATGGAAGACAGCATATATAAAACCATTACCTAAAATTACGTCCAAGAGAATATAAAGATTTTAGACCAATAGCCCTTACCTCAGTAATTGTGAAATGTCTTGAAAGATTGTTACTTCAGCACTTAGTTAGGATGGTTAAAGATAGACTGGATCCTTGGCAGTTTGCCTATAAAAAAGGTTGTAGTACGGAAGATGCAGTTGCTGCTTTGGTGCATATCATCTCTAAACATTTAGATAAATCTAATACAACTATAAGAACTTTGTTTTTAGATTTTTCTTCTGCATTCAATACCATAAAGGTTGACAAATTGATGTCAAAACTTGTACAGTTGGGTGTAAATCTGTATTTGATTCGTTGGTATATCTCATTTCTCACTAATAGAGTTCAGAGAGTTAAAGTGAATAAAACTGTGTCATCCGCTATCATAACAAATGTTGGAGTACCCCAGGGTTGCGTCAGTTCTGCCATCCTTTTCACCTTGTATACAGATGCCTGTCGAACTGACATATTAAATCAGTATATTTTAAAGTATTCTGATGACACTGTCTTAATATCTGTGTTGAATGACGGGGACAGTCCTGGGTTTCATCAACAGGGTGTGACTAAATTAGTTGAGTGGTGTGAGAACAATGATCTTGTTATTAATATAAGTAAAACAGAAGAGATTATATTTGGGTCTACATCTGATACTTCTATAAGGCCTGTTTTTATTCATAATGGAAAAATCAGACAGGTTAAAACATACAAGTATTTAGGAGTGATGATTGACGATATGTTATCATGGAAAGATCATATTGACGCTCTCTGTAAAAGAACAAAGCAGAGAATCTACTTTCTTCGTCGTCTTAGGTCATTCGGAGTAAGAAAGCAGATTCTTCTGTTGTTCTTTATGTCTGTGATAATGAGTGTACTGCAATACTGCAACTCCATTTGGTATAGGAGTTTGTCTGTTATGCTAAAAACAAAGCTGTTCAATCAATTAAAAATTTGCTCAAGGATTGTAGGTCAGCCCCTTGAGAAGCTCTATGATTCAGCTTATTATAATAATTTGTTAGGACTGGCTAACAAGATAGTTTCTGATCCTAATCATGTTCTGCATAATGAGTTTGAATTATTACCATCAAACCGGAGGTACAGAGTCCCAAGATTCAACAAAGTTAGGCTGAAACACTCTTTTGTGCATCAGGCAATCCTGGAGCTTAATCAAAAATCAAGAGTAATGTGAACATGGTGTAGTTGTAGAAGTGTAGTAGCAGGGTAAGGCATAATGTAATGTTGAAGGGAATGTAATGTATATTGTGTTTTGTTGGTGTGTGGATGAAGTGCATGTTGTTGTTTAAAGGATGTTGATTGTTGTAAACACAGATACTGTCATGCAAGAAAAATTTCACACTCGCTTGACAATAAAGTGTTATATCATATCATATCATATCATATCATATCATATCATATATCAATAACTACCTTAATAACTATTAAGCAGCAAATTAGGAGTTTATTGAGGCAAAAGTTGTAGTTAATAGTTACTTTATAGTGAATATTGGTCCCTAAATTAAAGTGTGACCAAAATGACATAAAATGTCTGCCAAGGGGGAAAGAAAAATAAACTTCCCTTCCCTTTGAATTAAGTTTTATTTTCCTTACCACTTCACTTTTTAAGTATAAACTAAATTTTGATAATTATGTTTAGAAAACAAGACTTACCCTATTTTGCATTTTCAGTAAATTTATCTTGATTTAAGATTTTTATTTTTATTTTAGATATTTGTGCTGGAAAACAAGAAAAAAAAAATACTAAACCGCTTTTTTAGTGTAAGATGAGTTGTTTTTTTAACCACCTCATTTCTTCTCAATAACAATATTTGTATTTTTCAAAATATTGGCAGTTTGAGCAGACGGATTGCTCAAAAATGAACATGTTATTTGTGTGTGTGTGTGTTTGTGCGTGTTATAATGGTCTTCATTTTCATCATCCAGCATTTCACTCAGTGCTGACATTCAACATCGATCCTGTGACTTGGAAGTACTTCACAAGAAAAAATGATGTTGGCTTTGGCTATAGAGTGATACAGAGAGATACATCTAGGTGAGAGAAAAAGAGTTTGAATTAAAAAATTTTTTTTATATATTTTGTTTATTTATTTAAGACTATTTTGTATACAAGAAATGCAGGTGTGAACAACCATTACAGAACACTGACCCATCGCAATTAATAAAATATATATTTGAAACCTAACATGTTTTCCTTTACTTTTCTATAGTTTTCTTGTGAGTGATCCTTTAGTACAATACAGCCATAACACAAGAGGACAAGTTTATAGCTGTACCATTTCACAGGAAACTTGCCTGCCGGTGACAATTAACGGTATTTTGTTTTTCATATTTCATATTTACAAGTGATAAGTCTGTTTGACATGTAAAATCTAAACAATTTTAATTATTTATACAATGACAGTGCCTTCTGAAGCGGTTAACATGTCTCTTGGACTTTCTATGACTAAGGATACACAATCTTCTAATTCAGTGGTATGTTGTATGTTCATCCTAAAACACAAATAAATACATATACAGATGCCTGTAGTGATAGTCCACTGAAGGCGAGTAGTAGATGAACCCAAGTGCAGCTTTATTTACAACAGTAATCCAAACATAACCCAAACTGAGACTTGACTTGAACAGACTTGACTTGAACAGACTTCACTCACCAACAGCAGGTACATACATTCAATACACAACAAGAGACAATGGCAAAATGATGGCTACTTATAGCAAACAATACAGGTCACATGACAAGAACCAACCAATGAGAGACAGGACACATGACTAAAACAACCAATGAGAACATACGAACCAAAGAACAAATCAGAACATAACACAAGGTGCGTTCGACTTAACGCAGCACTGCGGTGATCGATCAATTTCTGACTTGAAGCAGTGCATGCCGGTTAGAAATTTTGTCCGACTTGAGACGGCACCGACGCCACGCCGCTGACTCAGCCGGCGCAGTTTCTTCAGAGCGGCTGCAGGAGCGTTGATGACGACACAGCCATTTCACGATTGGCCAGATTTACCGCATGACAACTATCACGTGTGTTTTGGGTTTATTCTAACCTTTTCAATTCCAATAATAGCCACAAATCTGTGTTTTTAGAACAGTAAAAGCTTTCGCAATGTTATATTAAGTCAATACTGTCAATACTTTATCATAAAACACTGATGAAAGCATGCATTCCCCCACTTTATTAGTATTTAAATAGTATATATTTACGTTGAACTTTATTCTTGAACAGACGGCGATGTATTAAGACGTATATAATCAGTATATATCTGTTGCTCATGAAAACGTTTCTGAAATGTCTGTATATTTGACAAATAATTGCATTTAATTAACTTCATCTGTGATAGAGTATGCAAACATGGCGAGAGCTTCACTAACGGGAGCAGAAAGTGTCCGGCTTGACGGCTCCATTTTCAACTCCGCCCCCGACTGCAAGCGGCTATTCTCGATGACTGCCGTCTGTAGCCGTGCTTCAAGTCGAACGCACCTACAGAAAAGGGAATCACATGACATGATCACAAGAGGAGCAAGGAACACATGACAAACCAGGAAACTAAACTAAAGCATGAATACAAAGCAAAAGACATGAACACCAACACAACCCAAAACAAACCCTGACAATGCCTTATGTAAATGTTGGGCTGAATATTGCACTGATTGCATGATTTTAAACCAGGATTCTGGGATTTATACTTTCAACATTGATACAATGTTTGACATGTCTTTAATACAATTACTTTCCTTCAGGTTTGTGGTCCAACCATTCCTAAGGACTGCAAAGTGCTTACTACCCTCAGTGGTATGTGCTTTATCATGAGCGGAAGCGATGCAGTGAGCACACCTATACCAAGTGCTTTGAGAAGTTAGTGAAATGAAGAATTACCTAGATTTTTCTTTGTATTGCTGATTGATAATCTAATTACATGCCTGTTTTCCTAAACTCCTCATTCACAGGCTGCCCTCTAGAAATAGACATCGCTTTTCTAATAGATGGCTCTGAGAGTGTAGAAGACGTAGATTTTGTTAAAATGAAAACTTTTGTCATAACAATAATCCAGAGTTTTTCCAACTGCAGTTCTCAGGTAGGAGTCCATATGGCCAATTTTTACATTTAGATGCTACTCAAAAAAGTGTGGTTCACATTGCAGCCCATAAACAATTTAGACAGGAACAGCATGTTTGAATGACATGTAATGCATGTAATGACGTATGTGTTCTTCTTGTATAGTTTGCCATTGCACAGTTCTCCACTGGTTTTGAAATTCACTCCAAGTTTGAAGCAGTCAATGACATTGATTCATGGAGGAAAAGAATAGAAGAGATTAAACAGCAAAAAGGATGGACCTACAGTGCAAAGGCTATAAATAAACTTGTGTACGTCACTTCTAATGTTGTCAATATAGAGTATCTCAAAATGCCACTTCAGAATGTATTCATGCAAACCTTATTTTATTTGATCCAAATCTCACTTTTAGTTCTTCTAAAACTGATTTTGTAGCATATTAAAGGAATAGTTCTCCATAAAATAAAAATTTGGAGAAACGTGTCATTGCATCACTGTCTCAGCAATGGATGCTCTGCAGTGAATGGGTGTCATCAGAATGAGAATCCAAACAGCTGATAAAAACACCACAATCATCCTCAAGTAATCCATACCACTCCAGTCCATCAGTTAACATTTTAAGAAGCAGAAACCTGCATGTTTGTAAGAAACAAATTTAACTATAAAATGTTGCTTCTGACTGAAATATAAGTCCTCTATCCATAATATTGTTTCCTCCAGTGAAAAAAGCAATAGGAGAAACAACAGGAGATGCACCTTTTCACTAGAGGAAGCGTTAATATGGATTATGGACTCGTAATTTAGTTAAAAACATCTTAAAGATGGATTTGTTTCAACTTTAGTCTTCTCCAGATGTTAGCTGATGGACTGGAGTGGTGTGGATTATTGTGATGTTTTTATTGGCTGTTTGGACTCTCATTCTGACGGCACTCATACACTTCAGAGGATTCATTAGTAGTGTAGAAGACGTAGATTTTGTTAAAATGAAAACTTTTGTCATAACAATAATCCAGAGTTTTTCCAACTGCAGTTCTCAGGTAGGAGTCCATATGGCCAATTTTTACATTTAGATGCTACTCAAAAAAGTGTGGTTCACATTGCAGCCCATAAACAATTTAGACAGGAACAGCATGTTTGAATGACATGTAATGCATGTAATGACGTATGTGTTCTTCTTGTATAGTTTGCCATTGCACAGTTCTCCACTGGTTTTGAAATTCACTCCAAGTTTGAAGCAGTCAATGACATTGATTCATGGAGGAAAAGAATAGAAGAGATTAAACAGCAAAAAGGATGGACCTACAGTGCAAAGGCTATAAATAAACTTGTGTACGTCACTTCTAATGTTGTCAATATAGAGTATCTCAAAATGCCACTTCAGAATGTATTCATGCAAACCTTATTTTATTTGATCCAAATCTCACTTTTAGTTCTTCTAAAACTGATTTTGTAGCATATTAAAGGAATAGTTCTCCATAAAATAAAAATTTGGAGAAACGTGTCATTGCATCACTGTCTCAGCAATGGATGCTCTGCAGTGAATGGGTGTCATCAGAATGAGAATCCAAACAGCTGATAAAAACACCACAATCATCCTCAAGTAATCCATACCACTCCAGTCCATCAGTTAACATTTTAAGAAGCAGAAACCTGCATGTTTGTAAGAAACAAATTTAACTATAAAATGTTGCTTCTGACTGAAATATAAGTCCTCTATCCATAATATTGTTTCCTCCAGTGAAAAAAGCAATAGGAGAAACAACAGGAGATGCACCTTTTCACTAGAGGAAGCGTTAATATGGATTATGGACTCGTAATTTAGTTAAAAACATCTTAAAGATGGATTTGTTTCAACTTTAGTCTTCTCCAGATGTTAGCTGATGGACTGGAGTGGTGTGGATTATTGTGATGTTTTTATTGGCTGTTTGGACTCTCATTCTGATGGCACCCATTCACTGCAGAGGATCCATTGCTGAGCAAGTGATGGAATGCTACATTTTTCCAGATCTGTTGTCCAGAAACTCATGTACATGGCCTAAGGCTGAGCAAAGTTTCAACAAATTTTCATTTTGAATAAACTGTTTCTTTAAGGGGTTGGCTGATCTGGAGAAAAACAAATAGTTTTTCTGAGTTTGAAACTGCAACACCCATAAGAAGTAAAGCGCACAAACAATTATGTGACTTCTAATAGCTGTTTTCAACACTATTTATGATGCTTTTCTTATTTCCATTGTACAGGGATGAGCTCTTCGTAACTGAAGGAGGGGCGAGGCAATCAGCAGTTAAAATCCTAATTGTTATTACTGACGGTAGATCAAATGATGAACCTCATCTCAGAGGTGCTGTTGAAAAGGCAGAAAAGAAGAATATTATCCGATTTGCTATTGGCGTAAGATCCACGTTTTCTTTGACTCAAGGCCTTCGAGCGTCAAAAGGGATGCAAAAACTAAAACACAAAAAGAAGAATTAATGTAGTCCTCCAAATAGAGTGTCCAAGTTGTCAACAAGTCACTCTTTTGAGTCAGTTTTTTCATTGAATTAGTTGATTCAGTTCATAAAACATGTATTGACTACTTTTATTATACTTTCATTGTGTTTTTGTCTTTTTTTTTTTTAAGTTTGAAAGCTCTAGTCCTCATTCATATACAGTGCACTGCATGAAAAGGCACGTTTCCGGACTGTTCACGTCAGCGCACGAACCTGTAAACGGCATGTTTCCGGCAGTTTCTGTGTATGTGCCTTGGCGTTTCTGACTTCTGGACACGGACAGAAACTGACTCTTTTGTGCTCGGCGATAAACCCCCAGACACAGACGGAAATGTTGACGCACTCACCGGTAAATCCACTTATCGTCCTGTTTATAAGCAGTGAAATCTCCGTGAATGGCCAATCATATATCTCAGTAAACATCTGAAAATTAGCATGCACTTAATATATTTTAAATGCTAACTGGCCTTCTACACAAAAATGCGTCATATGCGCTCATAAAAACTGTAAAGAAAGCCACAAACACAGCAAAGTGTCAACAAAACAATTTAATTTTTCAGCAAATGCAGGACTGCAAACATTTAACTGGACTGCAAATATTATTCAATAAACGCAACAGGACTGCAACATTTAACTAATCATTTAGATTGAGAAAAAGATTTAAAAAACACAGACACTTCAAGAAAATCATTAAACTGATTAAACAATCAAATATTTTTTTAAAAAGAAACAAAAAATGTATACTAATAAAAAACAAACACAATAATGAATACACTTGCAATGGAAACTTCAATGTCAGGGCAGTGATTACTGCTCCAATCTTAGACAGTCACACACACATATTCTACAACTCTAATGGCACCATCAAGACCATGCCATATTTTTTCATTTAATTCAGCCCTTCAGAAGCTACAGAAGATACTGTTATGCTCATAAATTTACATATCCCTAGCAGAATATGCAATAATTTTAACAAAATAAGAGGGATCATAAACATTGCATGCTATTTTTATTTAGTACTGTCCTGAATAAGCAATTTTACATAACAGATATTTACTAGTGCTGTCAATCGATTACATTTTTTTTACTAATTAATCGCATATTTTTCTGAAATTAATCGCGATTAATCCCACCTAACAGTAAAGTTTTTCAATATACTTTTATATTGCATTAATTTCACATTCAATCTTCAAATTAATGTACAAACAACATAAAGACAGTATATATATTTTTTATATTTGTTTAATGGCATCTTTTTTATGACTGAAGGCCAGTATCAATGATACCAATACTGATTTCTCTATAAAATTGCCCTCCCCCCCCAATATTTAACCATTGACTATAGCCATTCAACATTACAGTATAATTGAGAGCTATCAATTTTAATATGTATTAGACTTTAAAAAAATAACTTCTAATTTAAGAGAACTTAAAACAATCTTCACATAAACCCATTATAATAAATGTAATATTTACCTGTGCCCTTCAGCAGAAATTTGTTTTTATTTGTTTATATTTATTGTTATATATGCTTATTTCCCCTCTCAATTCATGTATTGCTTTACCTAATTAACGTTCTGTATAATTATGCTAGTATTGAATAATTATGCTTGCGCATAGAAAAGTGCAAAAACTGTAAACACCTGACAACTATGCCAATAAAGTTTTGACTTTATGATTGTATTTACACTGGTATTTGACGATAAATTAGCGTGCAGTGTTTTCATTTACAAATGAAACTATGCGAATGATTCATTCATCAATGAAACACTATAGTATTTATAGTCTATTAATTAGCCGAAATATATGTTAAATTCAACCTTTAAACTGCACTTCCAGTAAAAATTCCCATAAGTCATATAGCATAATCAAAGCTTTATTGGCATGTCGAGCATTTACAGTAGGCTATTATTTACAAAACTATTCAGAATGTTAAGTAAAGAGATCGAAATGAAGGAGAAAAAATCATATACATAACAACGAATATAAAAATATAACCAGTCATTTTAATAATAGTATACAAGTATTATGGAAAAAAGATGATAATTTCATGGACTTACAAGACTAAGGGATAGATAAAAATGTTTTCTTGTAGGCCTATTTTATTTTATGTGCTTTATGTAACATTTATTCATGATAAACTTCTTTTGAATTCTGTCTACATCGTGTGCAGTACAGTTCGGTAGCCTAGGCCTATGGTTAATATAATAATTTAATAATGTAATAATTTCTATAATAATTAACATTATAAATTCTTAGTTAAAAATAAACTATTAATAAATCCATCTCTGATAATCCCAGGTTGCTATGGTCACACAGGTTTGTTTACGCATTAAACTCTTGGCCACGAGAAGAATATGTTGTTCCCTTAACATAGGATCTCGAGGCCACGACATAAGGATGTCGTTACCTTGACAAAGCAATCTCGTGGCCACAACATTTTATCATGTTCCCACGAGTTAATATGACGTGGCCACAACAAAACTGAGTGAACTAAAGATGTCCTCTCCCGGTCACCGTACATATGTACATAGGAAGGGGTAAAGAATAAGCATATTTGGCCTGTTGTCCTCTGGGAATGGAGGTGAGAAAAGTGGCAATATATAGACTTACTCTGATGCTAACTGGTTGGATTATCTGAAAATGTTTCTCTCAAACGTTAAAATAAACTTCATTAAGAATAGGAAAAAATCTAAACTAGTCAAAGTGCTATCTTTCAGATTTAGTAACTGAATCAAATATAAGATAACCTGGGTAATTGAATGGTTTTAAAAAAGTATTTCTCTGTGCAAATTACCTGATTGATGACTGTTCTTTGAAGAGCAGCAGTTTTCCAGAAGAATGGCAGCATTGGCTGTCTGACCTAAAACAAATATATATTATAAATTAAATCACATCATAATAAAACAAAATACATTGTAGATTTTGACACTTAAACTAGAACATTGGCATGAACAAAAGGAGTGAAATTTACGCTACACTTTGGAAATTATGATATATTAAAAAATTATGTTGCTAAGATGCACCACTTCTCCTCAGAGGGCGTCTCAGGTGAATCCAAAGTGAGCTGCAGTCAATGTTTGGAGCCTCTGAAAACAGTTCAGGAGAATGTGTCTGCAGACTTGTCAATGGGGAATATGTTAACAACTTAAGCACGCTAGCTAAACTAACGTTAATTAATACACATGTACATTTTACTAATAGCTAACTTTTTAAAATTAACGTAGAAGTTCCTAATTACCAGTTAACGTTAGCAGCTTACCAAGATAGCTAACGTTAGACTAATTTTACAACATAAACCCACTCAAATATATACATTAAAACACTTTATGTTATGTTTTGGTAAATAGACTATTTAAAACGTTTCTGTAAATTCTCCCTTACTTTCTTCTGACAACGTTAAATCTCTCTGAAAACACTTGGCGGTTGTCACCTCGTGCTGACTGAAGGCAGCTGAAGCGGGAACAAATGGTTCGAAACAGCACCGGGCTAGAAAAAATTATATAACATGTTATGTCTGATAAACATGTTATTTAAATGGTTTTATGTATGCATACTAACCTTTGTCTGAGGTAAATCTCTCAGAAAATCAACGCGCGCAGCAACGGAGCAGTTGAAGCTGTAATAAACGGCTCGAAACAACGTCATGCTAGAAATACAATTTAAAAATATTACAACATCGAACAACTTTAATGTTATGTTCTTGTTATATGTTATGTTATGTTATGTAAACATGTTATTTAAAATCGTCTTATATATTCACACTTACCTTCGTCTGAGGTAAATCTCTCATAAAATACCTCACGCCGTCAGCGCACACACAAAAACTGCAGTCAGTGAGGCAGCGGGGGAGGAGTAAGAACAGTGATGCTTGGAGTCGATTCCAAAAAGATTCGATTCACGGCCGTCAAGGATTTCGAGTCTTGGGTGATTCAGCTCCAAATGCGAGGCCTGAAATGTCCATGCGTGATATTACTGTGTTCATTACCTTGATTACCAAACTATAACAAAGCCCGAGATACAACACTACCCGCGAATTTGTCGATTTTTTATTAATCTCACTCAAATTTTGCGATTATGTTAATCAAAAGACTCATTTAGATTAATTCAATTCGGATTAATTGAAACTTGCCTACAGGTTAAAAAATGACTGGTCAATTAATTTTTAACCGATAAACACCCCAAAAAACATGACAGTGCTTGCTCCTTATGACAATTAACCATGGTACATAAAAAAAAAACATGGTTATTGTAGTTAAAAACGTGTATTCCTAAAACTGTGGTTATACAAATATGGCAATCAATCTGCCAAAAAAGGTAACTACACTTTTACTATAATAAAACCATGGGTTATTTTCATAAGGGCTGGTATACTGGAAATCTCTGAACATGTTTAGTGTGTGCAATCAGAAATATCCTGTATCCGAAAATCTCAGCACACTTGCCTAGGAAATTTTCATACACAGGTCGTACACCTTAAGTTTCATTGAAATTTCCATTGTCTGATTGATCCCGGAAATTAGTCTTTTCACGCAGTGGTGACTACTACAGTGTTTACAATTTCAGAGAATAATGATGACAAAAAGTTTGTCTTTGCATGAACTTATCAGTCAAAAAAGTGAGGATTCTTTACCTTTATCTTTGCAATAAATGATATAATAGAACTAAATTTTTGAATGTTCCAAAATGACCTGTCTAGTTTTTTCAATTCCCAAAGATTGGTGAAGCTTTTGATGATGCCCGCACAAAGCAGCAGTTACATGTTATTGCATCTGCTCCTGTTGCTGAACACGTGTTTAATGTGACTGACTTTGACGCATTGGACAGCATCCGTGAACAACTGGAAGAAAACATTGCTATAGAAGGTAAATTTACAAATAAGAGCAAAGAACACAATAAAGCTGTAGATGAGGGAAACAATGAAAATGGAATTGACAGTCAGTGTTGCATGAGTGCTGAATAGGGGTTGAAAGACTTCTGATTATTTTAAGTCAACTTTTATGTGATGAAAGTCGAGTCGAAGTCGACTAGTTGCTGATGACGTCATTAATGAACAAATAAGTCTGGAGCTGTGACAAATACCTTGTGCACAGCTATGGCATATGACACAGCGCTGCCCACATGGCTATTGCTCCTATAACAGCTCATTTTTATCAGTTCTTTGGGTCATTATATTTCTCACAGCTTTCTGTTCGTTCTAAATCAGATACAGATAAAGTAGCACAGTAAAGATTACATTCATATGAATGCATTAGTGAGAGTCATTGCGTATGTGAATTAATTCTACATGGCAGCATCTCTCTACTAGTACTGAAGCTGTGGGATTTAGTTATTAAGAAATATATGCTTGAACTTTTCAGTTTCTAAACTATTTTATTGAAAAATCACAGAACAGTGTTGACAATACATTTCCGCGCTGAATGACTCTGTGCGCGTGATGTACGCGCTACTGTCTGTAGCCTATGTGTGTGCGTTACAGTGCAGCAGCGCATTAGATTAGAACGGCGATTAACTTACCTGTACAATAAGCTGTTTAAAACGTGCATTCTCTTTTTGAATGTTCCAAAATGACCTGTCTAGTTTTTTCAATTCCCAAAGATTGGTGAAGCTTTTGATGATGCCCGCACAAAGCAGCAGTTACATGTTATTGCATCTGCTCCTGTTGCTGAACACGTGTTTAATGTGACTGACTTTGACGCATTGGACAGCATCCGTGAACAACTGGAAGAAAACATTGCTATAGAAGGTAAATTTACAAATAAGAGCAAAGAACACAATAAAGCTGTAGATGAGGGAAACAATGAAAATGGAATTGACAGTCAGTGTTGCATGAGTGCTGAATAGGGGTTGAAAGACTTCTGATTATTTTAAGTCAACTTTTATGTGATGAAAGTCGAGTCGAAGTCGACTAGTTGCTGATGACGTCATTAATGAACAAATAAGTCTGGAGCTGTGACAAATACCTTGTGCACAGCTATGGCATATGACACAGCGCTGCCCACATGGCTATTGCTCCTATAACAGCTCATTTTTATCAGTTCTTTGGGTCATTATATTTCTCACAGCTTTCTGTTCGTTCTAAATCAGATACAGATAAAGTAGCACAGTAAAGATTACATTCATATGAATGCATTAGTGAGAGTCATTGCGTATGTGAATTAATTCTACATGGCAGCATCTCTCTACTAGTACTGAAGCTGTGGGATTTAGTTATTAAGAAATATAGGCTTGAACTTTTCAGTTTCTAAGCTATTTTATTGAGAAATCACAGAACAGTGTTGGCAATACATTTCCGTGCTGAATGATTCTGTGCGTGCGATCTGCGCGAGATGTACGCGCTACTGTCCTATGTGTGCGTGTTACAGTGCAGTAGCACATTAGATTAGAAAGGTGATTAACTTACCTGTAAAATAAGCTGTTTAAAACGTGCATTCCCCCGTTCAATTTCAGTAATATAATCATTATAATAATGTCTTGTGGAGCGCTTACAGAGTATGCATTTATTTGTAATTTTAACTGTTTGGAAATGGAGCGTAAATGTGGAAGTCCTTCACAGATTTCTTATCATGTTGCGCCCCCTATAGGACCAGTGACTAGTCGACGTCAAGCTTAAAGTGTTATGGCAGAGCATTGAAGTCGACTAGTCGATTAGTCGGTGCAACCCCTAGCGCTGAACAAAAAAAACTTTATCTTTGACATTTGCTCACTATGGTCAAATTACAGCCATGCTGATATTGTAACAGCACAGTCACAGTCAATACGTTATTGATTATGGTATGATCTTAGATCATGTTCACTTCTATTAAATACTTTTTTCCCCATATATTCTTTTAGGTGTCCAGTCCACTGGCGATTCTGCCACAATGGAGTTTGCTCAGGATGGATTTACTGCAGTGTTTACATCCAATGTAACTCAATTTGCAAGCATTTGAAAAATATTTTTTTATTGGGCATTTTTTTATTGGTCAACTGTTAACAGTTAATGGTACACAATATCAAAATGATACAACAACAAACTCCTTAAACTAAGAAAATCCTTAGTTATAACTAGCGGTGACCCCGAATAGTTGAAGATTCGATGCTTCGATAGGAGGAGCCCGATTCGACTACCAATCTCACAATCGAATATTCACGGGGTGTTATGATCATGCTATTTTGGCTATATGGGGGTGCTCAAATGTTTGATTGCACATAGAACTACTGGTTTTCTCCCAATATGTTAATATACAGCCTATTAAAATAATGCTGTAAATAAGAATCTGAAAAGAAAGAAGCTTCAAATAAATATTTTAACGTGCGTAAATAAATCCAACTACCCCTATAGATTTAAGTTTCACTTTCCATAATCCGTGACCGACAGAGAAGCATCATGGCGGCAGGGATTTAAAACTTTAACAAGACTCAAACTGACACAGACAGAGTGAAAGACTGGATTTTTTCGATTAGGTAGGACATGTGATTTCAAAACATTTCGGCCGGTTTATATATATTGTGTATATATTATTTATCTCGTATAAGATGCATTTGGTTAAGCTTCATTGAAGTACTACGGTGATTATCTATTCAGCGCGCAGCGCGAGCAGGATAAACAATAATGCAGAATATTAATAACTATGACTGGGAATGTCATATACATAACAATTATAATGAGAACACTATTATAATAAAACGCGGTGAATTTTAGAGTTTAGTTGCTGTGTTTCTGCACGTTGTTGCATGAAGAACGCGTCCACAAAAGGAGTTAATTCAGAGCCGCGCAAACACGTTCATGCATTCGGGGCATTTTGTGCAGATAGTGTCACAAATCCTGTCCATGAACTTCCGTCCGCTTGCCACCAGAGGTCACCCTCCCATTACATTGACTTTAACATTACACAGACTGTTGCATGTCACTCTGGACTACATTTCCCATCATCCATTGCACTGATTGCACACAGCTGTAACCAATCACACACACACTATATTACACCCACTCAGATCCTTCTCAAACTGCCAAGTATTGTTTAGCGTATATCCCTTTCCTAGAGATAGCTACTTTACGGAGCCAGTTCTCTGCCTTAGTTGTTACTTCTAGTCAAAGTCTAGTCATAGTCTTGCCTTGCCTGTTTTCCCGTGTTCTGATTCTAGCCTGTCTATCTCGTTTCTGAATGATCTCTGCCTGCCTTGAAGTATATCGCCTGTCTTGGATTACCCCTCTCGTCTCGCCCTGTTCAGATACTGTTCACCCCTCGCCTGGACCATTGTCTGTGTTTCGGATTTACCCTTAGGATTACCCTGTTTGGACATTGTTCGCTGGAGATTTACCACGCCCGTTCACTGGACTACTCTTGTGTCTTGCCCTCAATATACCTGTTTGCCATTGTCTGACCCTCGCCTGTTTTGACCATGTCTTAATAAAAGCATGCAAATGGATCCGCACGTCTCGTCTTGTCTCGTTCGCCCCATAACAGATAGCCTATAAGTCGTAATATTAATGTTATGTTGTACAAATAACGAAGCGTATTCTATATGAGATAAATGATGATTTAAATTCGATTGATTAAAAACCTGCTGCTTCATTCTACTGGTCATCTTCAGCATGCAGCTCAAAACAGAAATGCAGAACATAAATAACTGTCATATACATAACATCATAATGAGAGCACTATTGTAAAAAATGTTGTGAATTCTTAGGGTTTCGCTGACGTTTAATATTAAATGTCTTTTAATCAAAACATAAAATATTATTTACCCAGTTTGTATTAGAGGGTGACACGGGAGTGGATTTTCAAACCTCTCCCGTCCCACTCCCACAAAAAAAATCCCATCCCGTCCCAATCCCACGAAGAATCTGGGGGAAAATCCTGTCCCGTCCCAATCCCAGAAGAATGACTCCCATTCCGTCCCACCCCCGTGTTGTGTTCTTTTTTTGGCCGGAATCTGTCAGTTACAGTAAAAAAAATACAGTACAGATCACAGCATGCCCACTTTAGTTGAATAAAAATCCAAAATGTAGTTTTTTGTTATTTTATTGAACTGAAAGCCAGCTTAAACAATGCACAGTGTGCATTGTGCACACATTAAATTTCATGTAAATTATCCATGCTAACACACACGTTTTCTATTTTAATTTTTTTCATTTGAAAGTAGATGTCGTGTTCTTAAACAAAAGAGAGCAGGTCCGTTGAACGTGTTAACTCATTTGCCAACATTTATTTCTCCCCCTCTCTTCATACAGTTCTTCCCTGTTCACATCTCCCCTTCTAACAACACATGAAACAGTAAGCCAATAACATGACTATTAATTAGCCCCCAAAATTACTTTTGAACTTAACCCCATCATTAATCACTAATAATTGAACTAGTGCTTTTTCCCATGCAACATTTAACTTTTTCCCTTCTTTTTTTTAACCCACTGTACGTGAAACCCAACTATAGCTCTCTGAAATCTATAAGTCTAGTCTCTTTGGTTGGATCACTGTCCTTCCTGATCGTGTTTTGTATACCCCGGGAGTTTGGACTGTTTGAGCTGTTGACGATTCCAGGGAGTGCTCCCCCTCTTCTGTTTGATCACCAGTTTTGGGGAAACTTTCAGCTCATGGTTCAATGTTCGGCATAGGAACAAGATGACGTCTGTTCCTTCTGAGGATGCCTTGAGGGCTTTCCACTAAGTAAGAACGAGGTGCTGAATGGGATGCTACCACGGTACCCTCAGTCTTAGTGTCTGTGATCCAAACTCTCTGACCTGAGGAAAGGTGACTGAGTTGTCTTGCGCGGTGACGTGTGTTGTAACTTGCAGTCTGCTTCTCTCTTATTCCCTTTTCCTTTGCTGCTACAGTGGTGTAATCAGGGAGGCTCGGAATCAGAAGCGAGTGATGCTGTGGTATTGGTGTGCATAGCCTTCGCCCCTTTAGGAGCTGAGCAGGGCTGTAGCCATTTGGCAGTGGTGTTGTTCTGTAAGCCAGCATTGCCAAATAGGGGTCCTTTGCTTTGCTGAGAAGATGTTTTACCGTCTGAACATGACGCTCAGCTTCTCCATTGCTTTGAGCAAATTGCGGGCTGCTGGTGATGTGACTGAAGCCATAGTCCGCTGCAAAACTTGCAAATGTCTGGCTGGAAAATTGAGCTCCATTATCTGAGAAAAGGAACTCTGGAATTCCATGCTGTGGAAACATAGACTTCAAGTGTACTATTACATCATCTGATCTTGCAGGGGTTAATTTGGCAATCTCCACAATTCTGGAAAAATAGTCCATTACCAGTAAATAAGTGCTTCCATGTATGGAACCTATCCCTTTAATAGAAGATCATCATGGACTGCGAGAACTGCTCTTTCAGGCCAGAATTTCCTTACCTCTCCTGTTATGTGGCTGAGGTCTGGCCATCCTTCCTGGCATCGCTCCATCACCTCAGAACAGGTGGGGTCCATTTTCATCTGTTCTCTGAGTTTTGCCAAATAGGTAGGGCAGGATGGCATGCACCCTACAACAGTCTCTACATAGATGTTTGTGTCTTCCATCAAGTTAGCATCAGAATTAAGTTCTCGCAGGCTGTTTGTTACTGGTGAACGAGACAATGTGTCAGCTGTAACCAACGTCTTGCCAGATGTATGTGTGATGGTGTAATTGTACCTCATCAACCTCATGCGGAATCTCTGAATTCTTGGAGGAAGTTCTGCTAGCTCTTGAATACCCAGCAGGCTCACCAGAGTTTTGTGGTCTGTCTCCAGATGGAAGTGATGTCCTATAAGGAAGCCTTTAAACCTTTCACATCCCCAGGTCAGAACCAAGGCCTCCTTTTCCACCTGGGCGTACCGTTGCTCTGTGGGCATAAGTGAACGTGACGCATAAGCCACTGGTTTCCAAAGCTCCTCCTCTTTCTGTAGAAGAACTGCACCAAGGCCGTATGATGATGCGTCAGCAGACAGTTTCAGTTCTTTGTTCGGGTTGTACAAAGCTAGTACAGGGGTGGATGAGAGCTCCCATTTAAGTTCACTGAAGGCCTCTTGCTGGGCTTTTCCCCAGCCCCAGTGGAATCTTTTTGACAGAAATTCCCTCAGTGGCCCGTCCTTCTCTGCAAGGCATGGTATGAATTTACCTAATTGGTTTACCATACCAAGGAAGCTGCGAATTCCGCTGATGGTGGATGGCTCTTTCATCTCCAGCACCGCTCTGGTCTTGTCTGGATCAGGTCTTACCCCGCTCTCTGAAATTATATGACCCAGAAACTTGACCTCCTGTCTGCCCAACTCACACTTTTTCAATCCTGGCTAACACTGTGTGTAGTCTCTCATCATGCTGAGCCTGTGACTCACCCCAGATGAGCACATCATCCATATGGCACACAACACCAGACAGTCCTTCTAAGACCATTGACATGCGTCTCTGAAAATGCTCTGGTGCTGAAGCAATGCCAAACGGCAGCCTATTGAAAAAAAATCTTTCAAATGGGGTTATAAATGTTGTATATTTGGCTGATTGGTCTGACAGTGGAATCTGCCAGAACCCCATGTTTGCGTCCAATTTACTGAAGACCTTGGCCCCACCCAGCAGTCCGAGAGACTGCTCTACAGAAGGCAAAATGTACTTCTCCCTACATACAGCCTCATTCAGTTTGGTGAGGTCAACGCAGATACGTACTGCCCCATTCTTCTTGGGCACCGGTACCATGCCCTAGCACCAGTCGGTTGGCTCCTCAACCTTTGTTACGACTCCAAGCTGCTCCATGCGCTATAACTCCTTTTTAACCTTTCCCAACAAAGGAAGTGGAACTCTCCTAGGGGTTGCCAGGGAGAATGGAGTCACATTCGGTTTAAGCTTAATGGTGTAGGGCTGGCGTACCATACCTAGGCCTTGACACAACTTCGGGTACATTCTTTTGAGCATATTTGAATCCACACTGTCATGCCGAGCTATAAGATGAAGCTTTAAAATTGCTGGCCGACCTAGAAGTGCTGTGTGCAGATCTTTAACTACATACACATTTTCTTGCACAGTGAGCTCACCTTTGCTAAGTGACTCATGGGACATCCTAATAACAGAGAGTGGACTGCCACCTGGCCCCAGTAATGGCTTGTCTGCATTCTCTAGCGTGAATGCCCCTTTTGTTATCTCTCTGAATGTAGACTCTGGAATGACTGTAATGTCAGCACCTCTGTCGATTTTAAATTTTACTTTATGGTGTCTAATGAACAGCTTCACAGCCCAAGCATCCTGGCCTGTCTCTACTCTGCCTAAAAACCAGGGCTCTGATGATTCATTGCACTCTTCTGCTTTAATAGCATGCACTGTTTTGGCAGTTGTACACATCTTGCTGTAGTGCCCTTTTTTCCCCGCACGTGTGGCATGAAACATCTTTGGCTGGGCACTGCCATTTCCCATGACCAGGTGTTTTTCCACATCTTTGACAGGGCCTTTTATAATTTTTGTTCAGGGTTGATGTTGATGCATGCTTAGGAAAACTGCTGTTTTTTTATTTTGATGGTCTCTGTTTTGCTGTTATTTTGTTTATTTTTGTAGCCACTGCATCAATTTCAGCTCCACCTCTTGACTCACCTCTTAAGTCAGTCTGCTGTTTTTTAATAACTTCTGATTGTCTTGACATATTAATAGCTTTCTCAAGAGGTCTCTGTCCAGCTGCATCCGCTCAGATAGTATACTGTCTCTTAGACCAATTACAAGTCTATCTCTGAGCAGTTCATCATGAAGAGCACCATAGTTACAGTTTTCTGCAAGAGCATACAGGGCTGTTATGAAATTATCGACTGGTTCATTTGGCTGCTGCACTCTTTGAGTGAATCTTGCTCATTCATAGATTATGCTCTTTTTGGGCATGACAAATCTGTTGAATGTCTCTTTAACAGTTTCGTACTCCTGCCACTGCACTTTGGATAAAGGCTGTCCTCTTAACACATCATCTGCCTCATCTCCCATGTAGTATATTAATGTTCACCTGATTAGCCTGCGAGCTGACATGTAAATTACTGGCCAGTCGAAATCTTTCAAACTGCCGTATCCATTTCTCCCACTCTTGAGGTTTTGAGAAATTGAATGGCTCCGGAGGCTGAATCGTAAAGGTGGCGCTCGGAGGCACGCTTACTCCCGGCTGGATTTGTTGCTGAGCTGCTGCGGGACCCGCGTCATCCTCGCTCATGCTGCTCGCTCAACTTCCGCCAACTTTTTTTTCTGCTCTCACTCTGTCGCCCCTCTATTATCGCTTTACTTCTAACACCATGTCATGTTCTTAAACAAAAGAGAGCAGGTCCATTGAACGTGTTAACTAATTTACCAACTTTTATTTCTCCCCCTCTCTTCATACAGTTCTTCCCTGTTCTCTCCCTTGACTCCTCCCAGCCCCACTCTCTTAAAAAGCCCCATAAAAAACACATAATAATCACACCACAGTAGACATTTCACTCTCTATAAATAAATTTTTCATACATGGCGTTTCGAAGTTTCTCACTCTTCACATTACAGAGACGGCAGAAAGCGCATCCTGTTTGCTTTAATTATTTTACAGAATTGCAATGTTTCGTTTGTTGTTCCAAGTGCACACAAACAAACATAGAGTCTTTACAGATTCGAAAGATGTATTACTTTTATCTGTACGACCAAAAATTATGGAGTATTTTAAGAGCAAGTGAGCGCACCGGCGCCTCCATCTGTCCCGCAGTGAGCGCGCTACTGTTCAGCTCCACACTCTGCACAGACACTTGAATAGCGCACATTTCTCTAAGTTATTAGATTGAGCGGCCATGTAAAGTTGTTACTACATACATCTTTCAGATGAATAGCCATGTTTGAGGGCAATAAATGATAGGTGAGCGTTTGGATGTCCTGCCCTATGTATACTATATTACCACATAGACCAGCCATTAACGATCTGTCCGTCACGGACTGCGTATGTCATTCACTTAACCAGCCACACCAAAGCAAACAGGAGGAGAGCATAAAGAGACCCCTAACTAGAATTGAGTTCAAAATTAAAATATACAGTTTATAGTTTGTTTATATAAAAGGTATATTTGTGTATAAATTTGGGTACGATTCCTGGTCCCGCCCACTCCCGTTGACATTTTTTCCTGTCCCGTCGCAATCACGTGATAAATAGGGATTTTGTTTCCCATCCCGCGGGATTCTCGTGACCCGTGGGATTCCCAAAAAAATGTCAGCCTCTAGTTTGTATCTGCAAGGCGTCCGTTACACATTTTCCCAGTGTGTTAACATCAGTAATTATGACTGTCGAATGTCTGACTTGACTCTTGGTAATGTATTTTGCCCCGCCCCCAAAACATATGATTCGACTATCAGTCGAATATCGGCAAGATTCGAAAATTCCGATTCGGCTATGTAAATCCTTAGTCGGGGACACCCCTAATTTGTGGGTGTTATATTATATTATTTAATATGTGCTAAAATCTGCAAAGATGGACGCTATGTCTGCTGTATACATCCCATTTCATGTTTAGATTCAACTGTACACAAAAAAGTGAGCTGAGGATTTTAAACTAGTTACATCACTAGTTAGACTGTTGAGATATTCTATCAAAAACAAAAATCCTTGCGGTCAGTTGCTGAACTTCGTCTAATGAAGCCAAAGAGTTATGAGTCATGGCAGTGTTGACATAGTAGCGTGTGGGCAGGCAGAATAAAGACCTTTTAATTATACATTTCACTGACAGTTTTTTAGATTTATAAGTCTAAACAGAATGATGCCGTGTAATTACATCCCCATTCATTATATATAGCTGGAGTGCATCAATTTACGTGAATTAATTTGAATTAATTTCGCTCCAGCATCTGAAAATTATGGAGTATTTTAAGAGCAAGTGAGCGCACCGGCGCCTCCATCTGTCCCGCAGTGAGCGCGCTACTGTTCAGCTCCACACTCTGCACAGACACTTGAATAGCGCACATTTCTCTAAGTTATTAGATTGAGCGGCCATGTAAAGTTGTTACTACATACATCTTTCAGATGAATAGCCATGTTTGAGGGCAATAAATGATAGGTGAGCGTTTGGATGTCCTGCCCTATGTATACTATATTACCACATAGACCAGCCATTAACGATCTGTCCGTCACGGACTGCGTATGTCATTCACTTAACCAGCCACACCAAAGCAAACAGGAGGAGAGCATAAAGAGACCCCTAACTAGAATTGAGTTCAAAATTAAAATATACAGTTTATAGTTTGTTTATATAAAAGGTATATTTGTGTATAAATTTGGGTACGATTCCTGGTCCCGCCCACTCCCGTTGACATTTTTTCCTGTCCCGTCGCAATCACGTGATAAATAGGGATTTTGTTTCCCATCCCGCGGGATTCTCGTGACCCGTGGGATTCCCAAAAAAATGTCAGCCTCTAGTTTGTATCTGCAAGGCGTCCGTTACACATTTTCCCAGTGTGTTAACATCAGTAATTATGACTGTCGAATGTCTGACTTGACTCTTGGTAATGTATTTTGCCCCGCCCCCAAAACATATGATTCGACTATCAGTCGAATATCGGCAAGATTCGAAACTTCCGATTTGACTATGAAAATCCTTAGCCGTGGACACCCCTAGTTATAACTGTAAACAAATTACCACTAAGAGTTTCCTTAGTTTAAGGCAACCAGACATCATTTTGAAAAGTGGTGTAGAGGGAAGGAAAACAAACAGATTCAAACCTCTTTATTCAGGAAAGCCTGATCATGAGTTCTGTGGGAGCTTTCCAGGGGAAGGGTGGATATCAGGAACACTATCAATATGGCCGTTCATCAGACTTCCAAGTGGGAAGCGAGCAAGATAGTTACTTTGGTGAGAAATACATCAAATTGGCCTAACATTTATTGTGGGTAGATACAATTTAAATCTAAAATCTAAGGGCTTCCAAACCCTTATAACTTTCTTTTATCTGTGAAACACAGAAAACATTCTGAGTAAATTCCGAGTTCAATATTTCCACATATAATGAAAGCATGTTGTGACTGATGGTTCTGTGAGGGTAAGTAATGATGACTGTATTATATATTTTTTGAATGCATCAGGTTATTCAATGACAATAGCAACACGGTCTAAAAAAAAACTTGTGATTTTGGGAGCACCAAGATACAGGCATAAAGGACAAGTGAGGATTTCAATAATTGGAAATAATGCAACTAATCTGCTGGTGGATTCACCCAAGGTACATATATATATATTTCACCATATACAGTATATGTTATTCTCTACATGTAACATTCTCTTATGTAATATTTTCTGCTATTGGACTCCAGAAACAACCACTTGGAAATACTTGTGAATAGACACATAGATTCAAGGACCAGAAATTATGTTTAGTTACCTAATGACAACCCCTGATAAATTAACCTAAATTAAAAACAGTCAGTTTGGTGTTGATTCAGTTCAGTTCAATAACTGTAAAGTTAATCAATTATGAAATAAGCTTAGTTCAGCTATAAGCAGCTCTACACAAAAATAAGACCATTTAAGCAATAAATCAGCACTACAGAAAACAATTCAAGGCCTACAGTTTAGTTGGCAGAGGATTTAATTTTGAACAGATTTTTTTCTTCTTTCTCAGCCTCAGATTGGATCGTACTTTGGATCCGAGGTCTGTGTGGTTGATCTGAACTGTGACTTAAAAACAGATCTTCTATTAATATCTGCACCATCCTATGTAGACTCTCATTCTGAAGGCAGAGTTTTTGTGTACTTTTACTCTCGGCAGGTAGGGTAAAATACCAATACCAATCCAAGTCTTTTAAAAGCTTAAGAAACTCATACCCTGTATACACTTGTGTTTTTTCTCTTTTTGCAGCCATACTTCACTTTTTCTGTGGCGCTGGTTGGAATGGCAGGCCACAGGGGTCGGTTTGGCTCTTCTCTGGCCAGTCCAGCAGATCTGAATGGTGATGGTTTCAATGATGTGCTGATTGGAGCTCCTTTAGAGGAGGACAGACAGGGCAGCATCTACATCTTCAATGGAGGAGTAGATCAAATCAGTCCCACATATTCACAGGTCTGACTATTTTAGTACGTAGCGTTGTTCCTTGAGTTGCACGTTTTAACCTTTTGTCGACTGCCACTTTATACCACTTAATTTTGACCTTTCTTATCAGTTTCCCTGTTCTATTATTCTGTGTGTGGTTTTAGAGAATTGCTGGATCATCTGTACGCTCAGGTTTACAGTTTTTTGGACAAGCTCTGAGTCAGTCCTCCTTAGATCACAGTGGAGACAGTCTACCAGACATTGCTGTTGGATCAAAAGGAGCAGTTTTACTTCTTAGGTACAGTATACGTCCTGTGACTTCAGTATATTCACACACTTATTCTATCTAAAAGAATTAACTGATTAATTACAAGTAAACATCCACTAAATTCACAGGCAGTAACATACAGGGCCCAATCTTATCTAGTTAATACTTATGTTTTGTAAGTGTATAATGTGTACTTTTCTACAACATACAGATCTAGACCCATAGTGTTTGTGGATGTGAAAGTAACCTACAGTCCATCCAAAATCTCAACCAGTCAAACAAACTGCACCAAGCCGCTGGAAAACACCTTGACAGTATGCTTCAACATGAGCAGATACAAACATGCTATAACAGGTTTCGTCAATTTTTATGACAGACTTTGTTATTTAAAAAAACAATTTTAATGCAAATATCATAAAATAGTACTCAATGACATTTCCAGATTTGGCTGCAAATATTAGCTATACGTTAAAGCTGGATGCCAAGCGATATAACCACAGAGCATACTTCTTGCCCAAAAATCATGTCCTCAGTGATGCTGTAAATGTTACACTAGAGGAAGTGTGCAAAGACCATCCATTCTTCATAGAGGTAAGTCACATATCACTCCTTTTGTTGCAGATATTTCTATACCAGTTTCCTGCAATGTGCTATCTGAAACCCTCCACCTCCCCTAGCTCCATCTGTCTAGATCTGCTACAGGACTTATGTATGCCTACTGATGCAGCAGCAGCATATTTCTCATGCTCACAGCAGCATGTTGGTGTATCTGTTGGCAGTAGAAATACATAAAAATAATAATCGAAAAAATAAAAATGGATTTTTATGAGAAACAATACCAGAGTAAAAAGTAAAAAATCCTTTAATTTATTATATTGCTTGTCTTGTCCAGGCTTGCGTAGAGGATTATCTCAACCCACTGCTTAATGAATTAATGATCACTTTTGAGGGTCTGCCCTCCCAAAGCCTGGAAAACTTACAGCCTGTTCTCTTACCATGGATAAAGAACACTACATTGTGGATGGTAAGAGACTCATTCAATCCTAAATTGTCACAAAGTGGAAATGGTGAGACCAAATGTACATTATATGAGAACATATGTGCATTTTTAATCATATTACAGTTAGATTATGAGATGAACTGTGGATCAGACAACCTTTGTGTTGACAACCTCAAAATGGACTTCAGCTTTGGGTAAGTTAATGGTGAAGTTTGTTCATTTCTGCATCTTGAACACTCCCCCAACCAGCCACTGGTTGGACAGTCAATTAGACTTAATCTAAAATGAGTGAGATTTAACCATGTATCTCTTTTGTTTCTCTGATCCAGATCTGCTAACATAGAGGTTGGGATCATGCAGGAGATCAATGTGACAGTGTTTGTAGAGAACAAAGGAGAAAACTCATACAACACTCACTTCACCCTCAACTACCCTTTTGGACTTTCCTACAGGAGAATTATGCCTCGAGTGGTAAGACAGGATGATGTTCATGGCATGTGGGTTTAAATACAGCAAGAATAGCTCATTATTTAACATTATGAAGATCAAGTTTAATAGTTTAAGTGCATACAAATATTTTTAAAAGAAATATCCATCCATTTTCCAAACCACTTGTCTTATGTAGGGTCATGTGGCTGCTTAGAAAAGGATTTTACAGTATTTATGATCAAGAAACCATTTTTTTCTGTTTGAACAGGGCAGAGCAAATTGCCATTCTATAGATGGCATGCGAGGAATTGTATTAGGGGAGACCATCTGTCAGGTCAACAAACCTCTATTCGCAAGAAACGCTTCTGTGAGTTGAAATCTGTGTGAACAGACACACAAATGGATACAGAGAGGTCTACATATCTGAGACCAAATCTGAGGTTCAAAATATACTTGGAACTTGGAAATAAGTTTTAGTGATAATGCGTGATTGAGTAACTCAAGCATTGCCAGAAGGCTTCTGCAATGACATATCAGAAAGACACCCAGATTCTAATCATTCGTACCGTAAAGGGATTGACTGTAGATTCTGAAGCCTCTGAGGAATTTGTAAATGTCAATGAATACCCTAGTGAAAAAAAAAAAACTATGGCATAATTTCTTTAAAATATATTTATTTCATAAGAAGCATACTTCAAATCCATCAACATATATATTGACATATCACTTAAGACTAGGGTGGCCATATGTGCCATTTAAATGGGACACGTCCTGGCCAGGATTTTTATATTGCCTAAAACATCCAAAGTAGTTTGACCAATAACATGCAGATATTGTACATAATTGACCAATCGTGGCGCGCCACGCGTGAGAAGGTGAGAACGATCAAAGCGATGCAAATACATGCACGTGTTTGTTCATTCATTCATTCAACTTGAAGCTGCGCACCGATCGTTGTATGACACCAAAGTACCATGAGAACGATTTGAAAGCATAAGGAGCTGTCTGCTCTGCTCTCTATAGCTCTCGTGAAATAATGTCATACAACGATCGATCTGCACAGTGCAAACAGCCAAAACCTGGATATTTTAGGCAATATAGAAATCCTTACAAGGGTGCGTCCCGAAAAATGGCCCGTATGGTCACCCTACTTAAGACCTACTGATATACGGAGTTCTGGCATGAAACTTTAGATGGCACAGTCCGATAGGTCTAACTCAATCTGACCTAATGACATCATTATCACATGGCACATCTGGTTGGTTTTCTCCTGTATCAGTAGCCAATGAACTTGCTGCTCAACATTCAAATATATGATTAGTGCTTGCAGTAGCAGTTGCAGCTTGCTTCAGAACAGCAAAATCAACATCTAAGATAAGTGAATGCTCTTCTAATCCACATCGCTGTGTGTATTGTGTGATCTGCCTAGTTGAATTAAAAAATGAGCAAGCATAATCAAGGTCGATGTTTTCATTGTGATGAGTGTATGGTTGATTTCAGCTGCACGCAGCGTCAGAAGCGCGCGCTTATCGCAGTCATATCAATGACAGTGTTGCGGGAGAAGCTGAAGATCATTATCTACGGCTGTAACAGTTAGTTCATAATGAAATGCATTATGGGTAGTGTAGTTCGGAGAAATGTGCTTGTGCGACGTGTGCTCTTGCTGTGCTGTGTAATTCAGAAAACGGAGAAAGAACATTTATATTCTGCTTTTATTTCAGTTCATTCAGGTCAGTCCACCCAGGAATTTTTGTGCACTGTAACTTTGACAACTTTTATATACACGAGAGAGTCAAATGGTATGCATCGTCTAACTTTGTCTCATCATTGCACGAACATGAATTAACAAGATGTTACACTGCCGCTGGGACTGATGAAGTGGAGAAGTCAAGTCCAGTCAAGTCACCTTTATTTATATAACACTTTTAACAATACAGATTGTGTCAAAGCAACTGTACAGCATTAATTAGGAAAATAGTGTCAATAATGCAAAATGACAATAGTAAACACTCAATTTTCAGTTAAAGCAGTGGTTCTCAAACTTTTTTTTCGCGCCCCCTTTAAACCTATAAAAAAATCTGGCGTAGAGCCATTATAATCAGTGACGCTGTGCACACTGGATGCGACGCGACACGACAAAACCCCGACATTAAACTGATGTTTTGTTCTATTTATGACGTACTGACACAAAGTTAAAATGATTTGCAACAGTCGCTTTGTCGCATCCAATGTAGACTTGCGGCACGACGCGACAACTGTAGTGTCCGGTATAGACACAGTGAGTGAAGCCGAGAGCAAGATATGCCTCGTCATATTTTCTGCATTTAGCTTTTAAATGACCAGCACCTGCCTGGGTCTATGCGACTTCATCTATGGCTTTTCTCTTCCCTTTCACAAACCGATCCAAGTTACGTCCTTTGGCTGTTTACTGTTTTATTTCTTTCCTTTTTCTGCTGATGACCCGCACCCACCCAGCAATACTCGTGCGCCCCCCCCTGGCGGACGCGCCCCACACTTTGAGAACCACTGAGTTAAAGGCAGTTCATCATTGAATTCAGTGATGTCATCATCCAGCTCAATTCAGTTTAAATAGTATCTGTGCAATCAAGTTGGCGATATCGCTGGAAATGAAGTGTTCCCAACTAAGCAAGCCAGAGGTGACAGCGGCAAGGATCCAAAACTCCATCGGTGACAGAATGGAGAAAAAACCATGGGAGAAACCAGGCTCAGTCGGGGGGCCAGTTCTCCTCTGGCGAGACGAAACCAGCAGTTCAATTCCAGGCTGCAGCAAAGTCACATTGTGCAGAGGACTCAACTGGTTCCTGTGGTCTTGTCCCGGTGGCAGTCTAGGAGACAAAGTCTTCACTGGGGATCTGTCTCTGGAGAAATTAACAGCAGTTATCAAATGAATAAATTATGATATTTGCTCAGTTGGGTGCTGGGGTCTTATCTATCGGATTGCAACGTATATCCATTTGTTAATTAAACATTACACATAGTGCGTGTCTAATTAGAGTTAAGCCAGTCGGCGTGGTAGCCCAGGCTCACATAGTCATAGCCCACTATTGTTAAACCAGTCGGTGTGGTAGCCAAGGCTCACATAGCCATAGGCCACTATTGTTAAGCCAGTCGGCATGGTAGCCAAGGCTCACATAGTCATAGGCCACTAGTGTTAAGCCGGTCGGCGTGGTAGCCAAAGCTCACATAGTCATAGGCCACTAGCATTAAGCCGTCGGCGTGGTAGCCCAGGCACACATAGATAGTAATACATGCAGTTCACATGGCTCTTCGGAGCAGCAGCAGTACATATATATTGGCGATAGATCTGATTGTTGGGGTGTGCTTTGTTCTTGTTTTGGCTTGTATTGTCCCTTCTATGTCTCCTGCTTTGTGGGGGGTTATTTCATGTATGTTATATTCAGCGTAGCAGAACTATTCCGCCAAGACCAAATACATTAACATTGTCATGTACATTACCATGCCAGTCCCTCCGAGAGTTGTCATGACAGAAATAAAATTATGATTAAACTTTATTTGGAGAATTTCTTTATTGCAAAATGCACATTTCTTAATATTATGCCTAAAATGTGTTTGATTATTATTATCACTATTAATAAGGATTTTATGATCTCTGTATAATATTAGTCTTTAACCCTCTGGGGTCCGAGGGTGTTTTGGGGCCTGGAAAAGTTTTGACATGCCCTGAGGGTTAAATACAAGATATTTAAAGGGCAACTGAAGTATACTTGCAATAGTTCCACTTTAGCACAATCAGATATACTTCAGTATGTCTTTAGTTGGACCTCAGCACCACTTACACATAATTAACGTGCATTAAACACAAAATTAGTTGTTCCAATGTAGCAGAATTGAAGTATACCAGTTTATCAAAAGTACAATTGCAGGGTATTTTTATTTAACACATAAATATGTAAAAGTATTTGTAGTATTCATAGCACAAAATAAATGTATTTCATTTCATTTATACATTTTAGTATATTTTTTTCACTAGGGTACCATTTAATTTGGTAAATCTTTTGCCAGTCTTCATTTTATTTCAGAAACAGGAGTAGAGGCAACTGAAAAAAAATTAGTTAGTTAGACAGTTCACCACCGTCTCACAACTGACTTCTTGACCCTACTGTATCTAGACACACATATGCACAAATTAAAATATATTTTGTAAGCATCCTAAAATGTTTTATAATGCTTTTTAACTTCTTACCTCCTTCTTCTAGGCTGTGTTTGATATTATTTACAGTATTAATAAAGAAAGTCATTTTGACCAAAAGGTGACATTCAGTGCATCTGTTACCAGGTATGGTGTTAATCTGTGTCTATTAAATGAATTATATCAGCATGAAAAGTAGCACTAACCAAAATGTTCTGTCATTTCCAGTGGCAATACAAATCACTCTGAAAACAGTGAACTGTTGAAAATGAGAAACATCAGTGTAAAACATGCTATATATTTTGCCTTGTTGAGGTCAGTGCTTCTGTTTGCTGTAGTGCGATTACAATTATGATTTCTGGACCTTTTGATATTTTGCTTTTCTCACTAGATGTTTCTCTTAAAGACATACAGATTCCAGCATTTACATCAATTTCACCAGTGGGAAGAATAATCTTGAAAAAACAGTTAAACAGATATTGGAGGTAAAGGTGCTTCTGAATTCTGTGTTCCATTATTTCATCTCACATGTACTGAAATAAAATCAGTTGTTGGTATCAATCAGTTTCCTTCTGTTTATGTCTCTAAGGTGAAGAATGAGTTCAGAGAGCTAAATTTAACAGTTTTCATTAGAGTACCTGTAAAACTGGGAGCTGAAAACATCTGGACTAATAAAAACTTGCAGGTAAAAGTGTGTGCAAATCAAATAAATCAAGGAGAAACAAACAAGAACCAAAGGCCTTTATTGTCTATATGGTGCCATTATTGAAGTCCATATTACTTTTGCAGTCGAAATTTGCACATTTAATACTTAAATTGTCTGTCATGCAAAGAATTTCCTTCTTGTTCCATGGAAGAAAGTAAGCCTAGTGAGTTTGGAATGACATGTCGGCAAGAATATTTTGGGGTGAACTGACATTTTAAGTGTTACAAAAATATTTTACTTTGTAAAAGATTCCAGATTGCTTTAGGGAAAGAGACGAGCAGCCCACCTCTACCAATTTTCTGAAAGTACTCAAAAAGAAAAACGTCTTGGTGAGCTACATTTGTTTTAATTTTAATTGGAAATTAATTTGGAATGAACTGATTTAAATGTACAATTGTGTCAAAATAAACTTGTTTGACTGTTGTAACATTTTTTTCTGTCAGAATTGCTCTGTGGCGGTGTGTGCAGTCTTCAGGTGTGAAGTGAATCTAATGAGAAATGAAAGGAAGTTCTATAATATCTCCAGCAATGTGAGCTCTGGATGGATTGAGCAGGTATCTGAAGTTACAGAGCCTGAAATCTTTATTAGATGAGAGATTTCTGCCATTCTAATATACACATTTATTTTCATAGATTGGGATTAGGTCTGCATCTTTTCAGTTGGTCAGTACAGCATCTCTGGATTATGATGAAGACAAATATATTTACTTCTCCGATTCCCTCAGCTCTGTGCCAGTTTGCGAGGTAATGCATATAATTCACTTAAGCTAATATCATAATTCTCCAGCTGTTAGTGACATTACTTTAACATTATACTATCTATGCATCAGAATTTGTGAGATTTTGCTTCTAATAGTTTGAACTCTTTATTGTGTTGGTGCCTGTGAAGGTAAGCACTCAGGTGGAGGTCTTTGAGGAACCCAGCATCCTAAAGGAGGTCACTGGAGGAGTTATTGGAGGACTGCTGATCATCTCACTCATCACAGCTGCCCTTTATAAGGTGCAATATGCCAGCCTTTTCATGATTCTCTAATAGTGTTAATGTAATGTATAATGTTTTATTTTCATTTTCTTTATAGTCTGGCTTTTTCAAAAGAAAGGCCAAGCAACAAAGGAAAGATCCATCACAAGAAGCTGATGAAGTGGAAAATCTAAATTAAAATGAATGCAGAATTGATTAATTACGTTTATTATTATTTTTAACATCTAGTTCTTTCTGTCACGAATCCTGTCCATGACCTTCAGTCTGCTTGCCACCAGAGGTCGCCCTCCCATTATATTGAATCTCATGTTACAAAGACTGTCACATGTCACTCCGGACTACATTTCCCATGTGCCAATTACACACACTATAAAAATCAGTCTCAAACCCCCATTCAACACCGAGTATTGTTTAGCATTTTTTGCTGTCCAAGTGATAGCTACTTAACAGTAGTGATGGGAGAAACTAACCATTTCGAAGCTTCTAATCAATTGAACCAATTGCTTCGCAAAATGATTCACTATTTCGAAGCACTCGAAACACCACACGCTGGTGACCCCTGCTGGTCAAAACTTTGTAAATGCAACAAAAACTCAGACCAAAACATGCATAAAACAGCTTTTACAAACCCAATGAAAATGCTTTCTTGAAAGTATCATGTAGTAAATGCAATAAAAATAATAAAATACCATTAAAAATGAAGTGTCTGTATAATTGTCACGGCGCGGTTCAGGAAAAACACCGTGTAAACAGGGGTTTGGGTCCAAGTGCAGGTTTTATTAAACGCAGGGCAAAAACAAAAGGAAAAAACAGAAACACAAACAGATCTAAGAATCTGAAACAGGCTTGAAACAGAGAGGGAATCTGAAACAATACGGCCACTTCTGGCTTGCATCAGTCTCGGTACAAACAATTACCAATTCTTAGTGCAACTACAAACAATTCTTAATAATCCGCCCAGAGTGGCGTGGGGAAGGCGCATAAATAGCCCTCAGGATGGGCCACAGCTGTGTGTGAGTGAGTGTGTGCACAGGTGTGTGGAGTCAAGGTAACAGAAAAGGAGTCCGGAAGGATGGGAGATGGCGACCTCTGGTGGTGAAAGGGAGAACACCAGGCGCCAGACCCTGACAATAATAGGCCTTTGTGTTTTTAAAATAATTATTATTAATTTGCAAGGGCTTGTTTTGTTTGTTTTATGGAGAGCTTGTCTAAACAGGCCAGTAAGAGACACGGCGCGGTTCAGGAAAAACACCGTGTAAACAGGGGTTTGGGTCCAAGTGCAGGTTTTATTAAACGCAGGGCAAAAACAAAAGGAAAAAACAGAAACACAAACAGATCTAAGAATCTGAAACAGGCTTGAAACAGAGAGGGAATCTGAAACAATACGGCCACTTCTGGCTTGCATCAGTCTCGGTACAAACAATTACCAATTCTTAGTGCAACTACAAACAATTCTTAATAATCCGCCCAGAGTGGCGTGGGGAAGGCGCATAAATAGCCCTCAGCATGGGCCACAGCTGTGTGTGAGTGAGTGTGTGCAAAGGTGTGTGGAGTCAAGGTGACGGAGTTCAGGATGGGCAACAGCTGTGTGTGTGTGTGAGTGTGTGCACAGGTGTGTGGAGTCAAGGTAACAGAAAAGGAGTCCGGAAGGATGGGAGATGGCGACCTCTGGTGGTGAAAGGGAGAACACCAGGCGCCAGACCCTGACAATAATAGGCCTTTGTGTTTTTAAAATAATTATTATTAATTTGCAAGGGCTTGTTTTGTTTGTTTTATGGAGAGCTTGTCTAAACAGGCCAGTAAGAGACTATTAACTACTACTCATCCTTTTAATTACACAAATGTCTCAATAAAAATGTCTACAAATTGATCAAACTGATCCGAGATCGTATAGACGCTGATGCAGTTGTTTGCCGCTGTGGGGCGATCCACGTGAACTCGCATGATTCACGGGTTCACAATTTCAACAGTTCGCCCCTCTAAATTTCGAAACAGTTATGACGCAACGAAGCGTCGTTTACTGAAATCTTGTGACTTTGGCATTTTGATACGCGCTCAGAACCACTGTTTTGAAACAATTGATTCACAAAGGTTTCGAAGCTTCATGAAGTAGTGTTTCAAAAGCGGCCATCACTACTTTACGGAGCCAGTCCTGACATTTTGGTTTGTTTTAGTCCTGTCAAGTATTGCCTGTTTAGTCTAGTCGTCTTTTCGGATTTCTTGCCTGTCTGTGGATTATATTCTTGCCATGCTCTGTTTGACCCTCGTCTAAACTTTTGCTTGTGTTATCGGATTACCCCTTTTGTCAAGCCCTCAGGATATGGTTCGTCGCCGATGGAAGACTCATGCTTGCCCTCGGAATACTCTTTGTCTTGCCTAATCTATATCTGTTTGTTAGGAAAGAAAAGTATTTCCCAGGCTCGGACCCGAGGGTCCCAAACTGGGTTGTGCAACTGTTCATCTCACTGCTGATCTCCCCCAAATCCCACAAAGACCAAGGCAGGCCACAGTCATTTTATTATTAAGGGTTAAATATGGGGCTGTTGAGGCCAGGGCTGTTAAGCTTAGGTTTGGTTAAGGTTAGGTTTGTCAAGGATGGGTCTGTAAAATTAGGGTTAGGTTAGGGTTAGGGTTAGGGTTAGGGTTATAGGGATAAATGCGAAGATTGATCACCCCTGAAGTGATCGGGGAAGGCGCATAAATAGCCCTCAGCATGGGCCACAGCTGTGTGTGAGTGAGTGTGTGCAAAGGTGTGTGGAGTCAAGGTGACGGAGTTCAGGATGGGCAACAGCTGTGTGTGTGTGTGAGTGTGTGCACAGGTGTGTGGAGTCAAGGTAACAGAAAAGGAGTCCGGAAGGATGGGAGATGGCGACCTCTGGTGGTGAAAGGGAGAACACCAGGCGCCAGACCCTGACAATAATAGGCCTTTGTGTTTTTAAAATAATTATTATTAATTTGCAAGGGCTTGTTTTGTTTGTTTTATGGAGAGCTTGTCTAAACAGGCCAGTAAGAGACCATTAACCACTGCTCATCCTTTTAATTACACAAATGTCTCATTAAAAATGTCTACAAATTGATCCAACTGATCCGAGATCATATAACCCATAGACGCTGATGCAGTGGTTCGCCGCTGCGGGGCGATCTCAGTGAACTCGCATGATTCACGGGTTCACATTGATCGCCCCCCTAAGGCGAACTATTGAAATTTCGAAACGTTTCGAAACAGTTATGACATAACGAAGCCTCATTTACTGAAATCACGTGACTTTGGCATTTTGATACGCGCTCAGAACCACTGTTTTGAAACAATTGATTCACAAAGGTTTCGAAGCTTCATGAAGTAGTGTTTCAAAAGCGGCCATCACTACTTTACGGAGCCAGTCCTGACATTTTGGTTTGTTTTAGTCCTGTCAAGTATTGCCTGTTTAGTCTAGTCGTCTTTTCGGATTTCTTGCCTGTCTGTGGATTATATTCTTGCCATGCTCTGTTTGACCCTCGTCTAAACTTTTGCTTGTGTTATCGGATTACCCCTTTTGTCAAGCCCTCAGGATATGGTTCGTCGCCGATGGAAGACTCATGCTTGCCCTCGGAATACTCTTTGTCTTGCCTAATCTATATCTGTTTGTTAGGAAAGAAAAGTATTTCCCAGGCTCGGACCCGAGGGTCCCAAACTGGGTTGTGCAACTGTTCATCTCACTGCTGATCTCCCCCAAATCCCACAAAGACCAAGGCAGGCCACAGTCATTTTATTATTAAGGGCTAAACATGGGGCTGTTGAGGCCAGGGCTGTTAAGCTTAGGTTTGGTTAAGGTTAGGTTTGTCAAGGATGGGTCTGTAAAATTAGGGTTAGGTTAGGGTTAGGGTTAGGGTTAGGGTTATAGGGATAAATGCGAAGATTGATCACCCCTGAAGTGATCGCCCCCCTATATCTAATGATCCGTAGGTGCTAGAGAGCTGAAACTTGGTATATATACTATTTGGGGGATCACCAGTCGTTTGCACATGGTTTGGTAGCTCTAGCTCAACCAGGTGTCGAGATATAGTACTTCAACTCTACTTGAGTTTAGCAGTTTCTAGTGTGGAGTTTAGGGTTAGGGTTAGGGTTAGGGATTAAAGAATCAAAAAATCGAAACAGAGTCCGATTTCGGTTGTGCGCTGTCCTTCAA